ACAAGAACCGGGTGGGGGCGACAGGCATCGACGACGACGGCCAGCTGAGCGAGCCATTGCTCGTACTCAGTTAGGTTTCGGTTCGGCGTGAAATAAGCGGCCACGACCGCTATATCTCCAACTATCGCCGCTACACAGCCCCGTCCCCTTGTAACTACTGCAAGAGGTGGAGTGCCGGCTGCGGTACCGTGCACCAGGGCCGCCGTGCCGTCCAAGTCGGTCTCCCAGGCAGGCCCGAGAAACCGATGGACATATTTCTCGGCGATAGCGGCGATGTTGATGGACCACTGTGCCATGCTCTGGAGCAGAAGATCCTGAGCATCGCACCGTGGCCTACGTTCACCTGGAGGATGCGGAGATGTGGATCCATCACTGGACTTCCATCCCCGCATCCCGCAGCGAGCTTTGCGGCTGTCCAGCGGCACTCTCCGTCTGGATCAGCGGCTCGGAGGCGGAAGGTCGGCCTCCCGGCTTCGGTCGCGATAGGGCACAGGCCTTACCACCAACCCGGTGGTCGGCAGGCTTGCCCCCCGCTGCGCACCTAAAGCAACGCAGCGGAGCGTTGCAGCCACCCGCCTTGTGACCGGGCTGGCCACAGCGGAAGCATCGGTCACCTACGGTGGCCTCCGCCGTGCAGTGCACCCCTACGTGACCCACCGACAGGCACCTGAAGCACCTTGCCGGTCGGGCCTGCAGGAGTCGTGCCTGCGCCCTCAGGAAACCTCCGACCAGGAGGCTCCGTCCATCGGCGACCTTCTGGGCCGCCGCGATGGGGCAGCTGACAACCGCTGCCCCCTGTCCACCGGGGCCTAAACACCGGCCTGAGTTAAGTAGTTCTTTGTTAATGTTGTTTGTTTGTGAAGTTTTTAGTTGTACAGAAATTAGCTAAGTACAGCTGGCGTTGCTTACGTAAAAAAAAGACCAATAGAGAGAATAGAAAAAAAATGTATTTACTTTCACTATAATTAGTTTCTAAAACATCGACAAATGGTACCGCCGATACACGAGCCACGTTTCTAGCCTATACTTTTACATCGGGCTCTACATATGGTGAAGATAGTGAAAACTACTGTGATAATTAAGGATGTCGGGCTGGACCCTGTGGACGCTACGACATTTTTAGGTATAACACTAGCTTCTAAGCTACAGTGGGGCCCACATATTGATAAATTGTCGAGTAGACTCAGCTCAGCAGCATACGCAGTAAGGAAAAGAGTCCGAGAGTTGACTGATGTTGATACAGCACGACTTGTTTACTTCAGTTACTTTCATATCATAATGTCGTACTGCTGTGGGGGAATGCTGCCGACATTCAAACTATTTTTGTGCTGCAAAAGAGAGCGATTCGAGCACTTTATAATTTAGGCAATCGTTGTTCATTGAGGCAGAAATTTAAAGAAATAAATATAATGACAGTGGCAAGTCAATATATTTATGAAAATGTAATATATGTTCATAAAAATAAAGAAAGCTTTTTGAAAAACATACGTACATGCCATAAATACCAGAAATAAAAATAAACTTGTAGTACCCGCCTCTAGGCTCCAAAAGATAAACAATTCTTTTCGAGGTCGATGTGTCCGATTTTATAATAAAATCCCAAATAATATTCAAGAGTTAAGTATTAACTAATTTAAATCCGCAATAAAACGTGGCTTGTGCCAGAGGGCCTACTACTCGATTGTGGATTACATGGAGGACAAGAATGCTTGGGATTAATTAGCGCAGGCTATTTCTTTCTTAAGTAAAAATATGGTGTGGCTAGTATGTTTTTTATTATTATTATTTTTTCTATTTTTATGTTTCACTTAATTTTCTCTTGTATTCGTTTTTTTCTTCTTAATCTTGTTTTCTCTTCATTGTCTTTTCACCTTTTAGTCTTTAATAACGGACATACTAGCACACATCAAAACAATGTTGTGGTATATTTAATAGTGCCATTGTATCTACCTGTGAATTGCAAAAGAGTGGCCATGAGTTTGTTTGCCCTTTCTTCTCATAAAGCTTAACCCCTTGGAAACGGGCGGTTGTATATCGGCACAGGCATATCACAGATTTTGTATGGGTTTGATTTTTGTTACATTTATTTGGTTACTATTTGACAAAACAGAGATTGTTGCTTTTGTGTGTGTTGATCTATGACTTTAGAGTCTACATGGAAGACGATTTCAAACAATTTTGGAAATTTTATGAAATAAAGAAAGTTTGAGTTTGAGTTGATTTCAACGTTCTCCTTGCCATATTGAACTCTCCTAACTGGCTGTTGAATGGTTTCGTAGTTACCTGTTTGGTCGCCGGCAGTGTACCCGCCTGGATGACAACTACTCCACCTGGGCCCCAATTCTGCTATTTTATGTTCACGCCAAGCCAGTGTCATACCACTGACACGCTATTGAGATGCCATCGAGTGGCCATTGGCATCGGTATAAATTTATTTTAATTAATTTATTTCTATTTTTTAATGATTTATTTTAATTTATTTATTTCTTTTTTTTTAATTTATTTATTTCTTTTAATAATTTACTATTATAAAAATAAATAAATAATTTCCTCAAAAAACTTAATATATTTTCAACTACCGTATTTATACCGATGCCAATGGCCACTCGATGGCTTCTCAATAGCGTGTCAGTGGTATGACACTGACTTAGCGTAAATAGCAGAATTGAGGCCCTGGTCGATTACGTCCGCTGGTGTGCCACAGAGTGGCGTAAGTGGCGTTTTATGTCCCTTGTTATTTTAATATTCATTTATACCATCACTAATCAACTCCTTCCTTCTTCCCACCTATACGCAGACGATTTGCAGGTATATTACCAAAGTACTCTTAGTGAACTGTCATTAACTATGGATGCTTTTAATAAAGATCTAAGCAACATCTGTCGATTTACAACAATGTATGGGCTCAAAGTATACCCTAGTAAGACGCAAGTTGTAATAATTGGCAGCTCCAGACTTATCGCAAAGATTGACTGGCTTGCCCTACCACAAGTGTCTTTTCAAGGAGTAACAATTCCAATAAGCAACAGTGTTAAAAATTTAGGGATATACATCGACGAAACCCTCTCATGGAATGCTCAATTACAAAATGTTAGGCGTAAAATATTTGCCTCTGCAGCTTGTTTAAGAAGATTACGTAATTTCTTTCCAACTACCACTAAAATTGGACTTGCACAATCTTTTCTTCTACCCATTCACGACTATGCCGATGTCAGCTATCTTGGTTTGAAAGAGGACCGATTTGATAAACTTGAGAGACTACAGCCCCTATCTATTTAAAGAAGTGATTCGCATTTATTCATGACACACATACTCGAAACTTGAGATCATCGGAAAATCTGACCTTTGAAATTCCAACACACTCCACAACTTTTACCGATACATCTTCTACGGTGTAAGCAGCAGGCCTCTGGAATTCGTTACCGGAAGGTATAAGGCAGGCAAAGTCAGTGAGTACCTTTTAAGAACTCGTTAAGGATCACTATTTATCTCTGTAATAGCTATGTGGCAAATAGGTATGTGTATGTGTGTTTATGTATGTATTAATATTTAATTATGTATGTAAATATTAGTTAATATACGGAAATTATAAATTCGCACCACACTACATATTACTATATAATATAGTCCATCTAAAGGTTGCCTGGACGAGATCGCAGACTGCGATAAGGCCGCCCATTGTATCACTGTTTTTTTTGTATGTATCATCGTATATATCCTAATTATGGTGTGCAATATAGAGTACCTATCTATCTATCTTACGTGTATTAGCACAGTAAATAGAGTTCCTTTTTTTTGTTGTTGCTTTGAAGTTTTTATTGGTTTTGGTCTATTCTTGCACTTTTCTTTGGGATTGTTAAAATATTCACTGTTGTTCAACGTTATTGCACTGAATTTACTATAATTATATTATATACTATACTATATAGATATAATATATATAATTATACTATATAGATATAATATATATAATTATACTATATAAATATAATATATTCAAATTGTGAAAATAATCACTTTGTATATTAATAACTTAAAAATAATAAGGACCCGAAGTTAACTCGGGCACAGCAGCGCTCCCTTATCCTAATCCGCTTTAATTATCGCCTTCAATTCGTCTATAAATACCGGCTGACTGCGAGGCTCGTTCATCATCTCAAAGTTTCCAGATCTAAAACGATTGAACCAATAATATAATGGACCTTGTTTATGCGGCCAGTGTTAGGCCTGTACACCTCGACGTAGAGCGTTGCACCTTATGTAATCCGGCTATTCAGATGTCGGGACCGGAGGATGATTTGAGGTCGAGATTTCTGGTGCTGGGTGGCCCATGTTGACTGGACGTCCACACTAAGCCCGGTATTAATATGGATCCCATGGAGGAGTCCGGGGGATGCAGGTTAACTAAGGACAGGCGAACCAGGCCAGGGGGGAAACCCAGCAGCCAAAAGTCTCCGTATTGGGCAGTAGTGGGATAGCGGCCGGGAGTGAGTGCACAGTAACAACCTGAACAATAAAATCAGATGCGTTGCTTTTTTTTTTGAAAAAAGGCCCGTACACCTCGTTACTGTTTTGTATTCTTCGGGCAGCGATATTTTGACGTAGGAACTCATTTTCAAAAATTGTACGAATTATCAGTTTATCCATGGCACCTAAACCAACTACAATTTCACAAAAACAAAACATTATGTAAAACAAATAACTGAATTTTAAATTAGAATAACATTGATTTCAAATCAAATTTATTTGAATTTCGTTTCACGACCACTTTAGCTTTAAAACGGTTTCATTCAACATTGATTGTTTAAATAAAACAAATATATATTTTTTCACATATCAGTTTATATCTTTATTATAAACCATTGTAGCTTTGTCTCAATTTGTCTAATTGAAAAGAAAATAATCTGATTAATGAATTAAAATTATATTGGTATATGGTATCAGAAAATTACATCCTGAGTAAAAAGGAAATCAATTCAATTTTTGGAGTAAATAGTAAATTAGTTGGAGCAGCGACATGTACTTGAACTAATACAAACTCCATGGCTGTAGCCCAGGGCTCTGCAAACAGCATCACATGTTGAGTCCAGGCACGTTTTTATAGTTGTCGGGATGAAGAGAGCTTGGGTAGCTACGAGTACTTCTATTTTGTTGATATCTGTAATAAAAATTACAATATTCAATATTCATACAAAATCTTTGTTGTTACAGAGTTTAGACTATCGTGGCAAAAAGATGGGTAGTCTGGATCATTGTTGTAAAGTATAATTGATCATCATCTTCTCAGCCGAAATACGTCCACTTCTGGACATAAGATTCCCCCAAGGCTGTCCACAACAACCGGTCTTTTCCAATCCAACGGCTCCGTCTTCCGTCTCCGTCGCCTCTCCAGAACTTTTTGGCCCCATCGGCCGTTTTAAAAAGTAAAATAAAATTATGGTTAAATAGAGTAAAGTCATCTTTAAGAATGTGAGTTTATTTTATTGATGCTTTCTCACTAACTATAATAAAATTTTGCTTAAATGTTGTCAGGGGTGCCCAGATCGGGGGGTCGTCTATCTGTTGTTGTAGATGGCCCGAGGTATATCGGGGCACCAGGGACTTCCTTTCTAGGGTATACCTGGTTCCCCGGCTATTAGTACCCGAGACGGCGTGCGGTTTTAGTCGGTTCGAGTCTGACATGCCACCGATGGTTGTTTCCGAGGGGATTTAAACACGAAAAAAAAAAGAAAGGGGTGCCCAATATGACGTGACCCGTCTACTCGTTTGCCCTATTCCTACTAATATTATTTATTTTTATTTATTTATTCTTTATTGTACACACTGAACACATACATATATGTATATAAGTAGCCTCTTTCAAGGCTAAACCATTGAACCGATTTTAATTAAATTAAGCATGGAGATACATAAGATACTTTATTTTTTACCGCGATATAATAATACAATAGTAATATAATACACATTAATATAATATAATACACATACAGAATACATTGCATTCATATACCGACATATACACGGACGGAGCCATGGGCAAAGGATAGTATTCTAGAAATAAGAAAAATCCTTTTTAGTTTTTCCCTTTCTACATTTCTTTTTAGTTCAGATGATTAATAATTAAATTAAAACTTCATTATTATGAAAATAACGTTTCAGCTACAAAAGTAATGCATTATTATTGTTCTATGTCCATCCAGGACAGATAATTATGACAGTTGTGATTAGCATGGTTATTTGTTCTATGTCTGAATATAATTATACAATAATATGTAAGAACTCTAAAGTTATTATTATTCATCAAGATCTAATGAATGCCAAACTTTTATATTGACTATATAATATATCAACTTTTTATATTATTAGTATAGATAAACGGACCTTTAAATATAAAATAATGGATAATAGTTAGATTTTGATAATTTTCCACTTACTAACGTGATGCTGCTCTTCACGCGCCTGAAGCAGGTCACTTAGTGAAATCTTTAAATCAGCAACTGTGAGCTGTGCAACAAGGATCACGACCAAAACAACAGCCAAGAACTTCATATTGACAGATCCTTAACCTTCCTGTTCAAGACCTAGTTTTGAACTGAAAACGACTGACCTCTGTATGGCTCATTTTAACGCAGTCAGAATATTTATACTCTATCACAGTTAGGTATATGTTCATCCCGTTTAAAATACACTGTATCATTCAGGAATAAAGTCGATTATAAAAGGAGCTCTTGTAGGTACATACATATTTGTGTAGTGTGTTTGTTAATGTTGCGGTTTCGTTGGACATCGAGTGATTCATAACGGAATCATTGTTTGTTAATGAGGTATAGGACAGGGGAACCCCAAACGAAAATAGACCATTCTACATACGACTTTGTATATTTTGTATATTTCTAACGTATGATGGTAGGTTTCTTTCTTTCTTTCTATCAGAGGGAATGTTAACATGTATATGTATCTACAAGTATCTACCTACAATAGAGCAGACATCACAAACTGACACTGGTGTTGATAAGGCAACCACGTATGTAATTGCGTCCGTTCAATTGAATTATTTGTTAGATAGTCTTTGACTTATTAAAGTCACTAATAATATAATTAATATGTTTACAACATTACTTGAAAACAGGAAAACTGTAACTTTTACAAGTATACTGTTCGTATTCGATAAAAACAAAGTCAGCAGTTTTTGAACTAAGTAATTATAAAATTGTAGGGCCCCAGTTAATTGTGAAACTAATTGATTATACTGCAAATACACACGTGAGTGAAACTGTAGTATTATAGTTTGTACATAAACGCCTTGACCAATTATTAAAATATTTTAGTAATAAAAAACAAAATTCAATCTTTGTAACTAATAAAAAAAGGGAGGAATTCAAAACAAGAGCTGTAATGGTTTTGTTTAAGTTAGTGAGCACATCGGAATACTAAAACTTTGGCAAAATGTTATGTTACAGGAATATTATAATAACGGGACCCCATCCGTTATTATACGATTCCTGTAACATAACAATACCTACCAGATGCCTAAATGTCGATTTGGGCTTCTGGTAGGTAATATATTTACGGAGGTTGGTCAAAATAAAGATTTGAGTCAATCGACTCAAATCAACTCATGAAGGAGATAACTGAAATATGCTTTATTCCTGCACTGAAAGCTATAATTGCAACATAGGTAACATCTATAAGTCTATAAGATATTTTGGGGAAGTCCCGTAATGTATAAATTGATAAGAGTAGGATGTCGGGACGGAATTGAGGTTGTTCTTGTAATAAAGCTTCACTCTTTAAGATTCTACGTAAATATGTTTTTAGGGTCCTGTAGCCGAAACGGCAAAAACGGGACCCTTATAGTTTTATCATGCCCGTTCGTTCGTCTGTCTACGCAGTATCTTACAGGCAATTAGTGCTAGAAACCTGTAATTTCGCATGAAACTAATTACATACAAACTAATTACATCTACAAAGTGGTAAAATAAAATCTTGACAAACAATTTGTTAAGGTACCTCTAGTACCTTTAAAGTGGGAATGTGTTTTGATATTAAGTTATCTCATGATGTGGGGTGGGTCTTTTCAAAATAATGAGGGTTTGTGAAGATAATATTTTGTATTTATATTAAGCCTTAAAGCAGTGGTGAAAATGTAATGTGGGCTATTTTATTTTTTAATTTTTTATGTTTCACTTCACATTCCTTTTTTATTCGTTTTTTTTTTCTTAATCTTGTTTTCTCTTTACTGTCTTTTTATCTTTTAGTCCTTAAGAACTGATATACTGGCATACATTGAAACAGTGTTGTGGTATATTTATTTAATGATGCCATTGTATCTATCTGTTATTAAAAAAGAGTGGCCGTGAGATTGCTTGCCCTTTTATTTTCATAAGACTTAAGACATAGAACTTAAGAGTCTACATAAGAGACAATGTCAATTCTTTTTATGAAATAAAGATATTTTGAGTTAAAAGAGATGATTTTTGTTACAGTCAAGTGTCCCCAGCCAAACGGCAGTATTTAGAGATCTGGAAAAAATCACGGTAGTAGCATATTTAACGAAGTTAAAAGGAAAACTATCCCAGCATATTTGGCTTTATAACTATATGAGTTATAGTCGATCAACTAATTTGACTTTATAGGCCGCCGAAACCGTTAATGTGAAATGTTTATAATATGTTTTTTTATGATAGAGGGGCAGACGAGTCACCATCGCCGCCCATGAACGTCTGCAACTCAGGAGTCACAAACACGTTGCCGGCCTTTTAGGAAGGAGTACGCCCTTGTCTTATTTATATTTCACTAACTTCTTTTGTCCGCGTATATGTCGGTTATCGCGGTAAAAAGTAGCCTATGTCTTTCCTCAAGAATCAAAGTATGTTCATACCAAATTTGATGCCCCATACAAACTTCCACCCCCCTTTTCACCACCTTAAAGTATGATTTATATCGGGTTTGTGTCAAATTTTCCCTCTCTCCAAAGTTTTCCCTCTCTAATAAATTTTATCTAAATCGATTTAGCGGTTTAAGCGTAAAGAGGTAACAGACAGAAAGACAGTATTAGTTCGCATTTTTGTGATAAGTAACTACGGAACACACTACATTGAGCTTGGCTTGTAATGCACTTGGCCGGTTCATTTTGGTATAAAAATGATATAATATTTTGGCATATAAAATTTAAATATAGGTGAATGTCTATCAGTTTGAAATAAGGTGTAACTTCGTGTATCACGTAGGTGGTAAATTAAACTGATAACAGAATTGACAATGTTTATCTGTGTGAACTTAGTAACAAGTAGTAAGGTGCCGATTGGGTGGTATTAATAGCTAAATGGTTTACACATAAATTTAACGCTTAGAACCGTTTCTTTTTATTATTATTTACTATATATATCCAACTTCTTAGTGAGCTAGTTTAACTTGCACGGACAGATAGAGGTCTTGCCGTCAACCACATGCCGGATAGCACGTATCTGGGTCTGGGTGTTCTTTGTGTCCGTTTCATGAATGTTTGGAAAGTCCCCCGCGACACAGTATATTTTCCCAGTGCGAGTGTGTTTAAAAAAATATTCATATATGTAATATCCATAGTGATAACTTTACTTTGCCTGGTACTTTGTTGTAACTAGATATCATTACGTAGAATGAAAAAGATATGTTGATATGACGTTCAAAACATTCAGCTGCAGCAGTCAAAGATAAGAAAAGATACAGATAACGGTAGAGAAGACCATATTTGACTTGGCTTTTCCTTTTTATTTAATTTTCATGTAGTATGTTTAAAGTTCCTACGTCAAGACTCTCTACAAAAATATTTATCTTTTGAGTTTATTTAATATGTAGTAACTAATATACTCGTAAAAGGAGTGTTACCTCCTCTCTAATGGACGGCCTTGTCATTACAAATCAAATGAGCCCAAACTCAAAGGTTTTACTAGTAACCATTAAGGAGTTCCACTATATTCCTTTTAGCTCCATCATCAGACCTTCGCCACTATGGGTAATGAAAGGGACTCGTAAAAAGCAATCTAACGAGCCCAAATACGAAGACGATCACTAATCAACCACGAACTCATTACTGAAAACCGCATCAACTTATTTTTACATTACATATTTACACATTACATATCTAATTGAGTACGTTAGATACGTTATTCTTTTAATGAAAATTAAAACTGCATTTTACAGCATGTTAATAAAATAAATATCTTAGAACATATCGGAGCAGTAGCAGATATCAGGCCGTACCGTACCGTATTTTTTGAAGACCTAAGGTTTTTAGTGTGGTTTGCACCTAAATATTGCAAATTGAGTAGTTAGGTAGGAAGGAGAACTTGGAGAGAAGAGTCTGTCTAGGTTGGCAAATTGGAAGCCACTTCAAATGAGAGCGATGCTCAGACACGTGATCATACTTGCGTAAATTGAAAATGAATCGAATGCAATTATTGAGAAAACGGTAAAGCTTATTAAGTAGATGCATTCAGGCCAAAGTATCACATATCACTATAGTCGTTTATAAGGAATATTAGGATCTGAACAATCATTACCTTGGTTTTTGTTAGCAGAAAGTTTTAAGCCTACACAGGGCATGCAACTGTGAATTTCTGGCACACAGGAGCAACTTGTTTTCACCAGCTAAGAATATGTTTGTGTGATTTTTATATTCGTTAGGATCAGATCTTGATAGTAAAATAAATATTGATTCACTATTCATTGATTGAATATGATTCACTATAAGCTTTATCAGTTATCAAATAATAAATTATAATCAAAAATAGCAATATGATACAATACGGATATAATGTGATACGTATATAATACAGGATACGGCATATCTTTGATCATAATCTTTTTTTCCTAATCATTACGAATTACTTTAACATCAAAATAAAATGTAGCTACATAATGTGTATATAAATATAGCGTTCGTTTGAGCTCTGCATTCATATGTGGTCTCTTTCACTAATTAGCTTGATCTATATATATATATAGTACCGTGAAGTATAAAGTCTATCAATATGAAGTTCTTGGCAGTAGCGTTCGCCATCGTTCTTGTCGTTCAGCTCGCTGACGTCGCCGCTGACAAGCTGCCCTTCAATGACCTGACAGAAACGCATGGACAACAACTAAATCTTGGTAAGTGTTAAAAATGTACCCTATCGTTGTTTGTATTCACCAATGCAGGTGTTTCAATTTGATTACAAATAAAGTAAAATTCAAAATGCATATATAAAAGGTCAACTTTGATTTAATACAGACCAACTATTACCATCTAGTATTAAGACATTCTGTGTAAAATCTATACGTAGAGATAATTTACTTTTGTGCTATAAGTTTTATTAAACAATGATTTAAATTTTTATTTCAGATAACAGTAATGTAAGAACTTCAAATGTATACATTCGGTTAAATCAGTGCACTAATTTTGCTTGCAACATACAGTGTCGAAGTCGTGGTTTCAGTCGTGGAACATGTATATCTAGCAGAATTTGTCGCTGTACCAATTAAACTAATAAAGTTTCTTGCAATAGCTTCATAGTTTACTGTAGTTGGTCAGTTACTTCTCACAAGCAAGACTCCAATCGAAAACAGACTGTTCTTAATTGTTCAGTCAATTTCTTTTATCATTTTACCATTGACGTGTTGGTATGTAAACTTAACTAGTTATATTTTAGTTATAAATTAAGATAATTAAACGGATGATTTCAAACATTTGTTGTATTTTTTTTATAAACTAATTATAAAGATTACAAAAAAGGGCATTTTGCATCAAGCTTTTGCTTTTTTATTTAATATTTATCCTTTTCACATGAAAAATGATATCTATAATATTTATGTTATCTTAGTCTTTTATATATTACTTTTCTTCAAGTGTTTTTAAAATAAATCATCTTTGTGAGAAAGCTGTTTTTTTATTAAATCAATTAATTGGCTTATAACCTCTAATGCGAATGAAAGCGAAGGAAATTAAAAACTCAAATTGTGATTTATAACTGAAATCCACTTAAGTTAGAATTGTGAGTTGTTAGGGATGAAACGAATATGAAATATAAAAAACCTCTTGCTAGCTGCACGACGAATGTGACACTATTCGAACAATGATACTTCTAAAAACTGATATAACTTAAGTGTCGAACATGTCTAACATGCCTTAAAAATATTTCCTTCAGCGAAATATCTTCAATAATTTCCTCCTCTCCAAGACAAAAGCGATGCTTGTACAAACTCTTATTGTCCCCATCTTGGATTATGGTGATGTATGCTAATTATGACCTGAATGCAGATCTACTCAATAAATATGACCGCCTTCTGAATAACTGCATTCGATATGTCTTCAACCTTCGCAAATACGACCATGTCTCCTCCTTTCGTCGCAAATCGAACTGGCTCACTATTCGTCAGCGCCGTCAGTTGCGCGCCCTCACCACTCTCTATTCCATTCTCAACTCTAACATTTCTCCCTCCTACCTCACATCTACATTCCAATTTCTGAGTTCCAACCACTATAGAACCTTCCGTTCATTAAAAAATCATCTTCTGCTATGCCCCACTCATACTTTTGCTTATGTCGACTCCTCGTTCCTAATCCAATCCCTCTCCCTCTAGAAATCAGGATAGCACCCAGCCGCCTCTCGTTCAAGATGAAAGTTCGCGTTCGTCACACATTTCAGCACCACCTCAAACAACCTGGACCTAGACTGGGAGAAAACGCCTGTGGCATTAAGTCCGCCATTGTAGAACTCATACTTTTGCATAAAGAATAAAAATAAAATAAAAATCAAATAAACAAAATCATTATAGAGCAGACTTGTTAACACTTCGGACACATTTCCAGACAGTTTTTTTTACTGATGATTCGGACAACACTGTAGATCAAAATTTGATATCTCTCTGTCTGAAAATATAATTAAAATCAATACCTTGGATGATATTAGAGATTTAAAATGCGGGGGTTCAAATGTAACTTAATTAATTAGTTTCTGATTACGGTACTTATACATTACTTTTGCCTTTATCTCGGCCGGCGAGATACCAGATATACCTCATATGACCTTGGGATTACTATTAGTAGGGTAAGTGATTCAACAATATCAGAAACCGTGCCCTTTAAATTCCTTCTAAGAAAGATACACTACAAAGGTCGTACCCCATCTATGAACAAGACATCTATGGCTTCGTAAAAGACATTGACAAGCTAGACCAACAGCCAAAAAGTAACGTAAAAAAATGTTAGACTTACAACAACAACTAACGTGATGTTAACTGGTCTTTTCTAGTATACGATATATACCAGAACAACTTAAGAACGCTGGACGCGAAAGTCACTAAGGCATCCGTGTTGCCTCTCTAGCTACTCTCGTAGGACGGGTCTTACCGCCGCTATAGCGGCGTGCCCTGTACTGGGCTGCGCAAGCCGTTCCTCCCACTTCACCACCAAGATTTCGCGAAGTTCAGCCCGGCGTGCCTCTACTTCTCGAGGATTTAATGGTCACTGTTGTAACCTTACCTAACCTAAACTGAGTGTGCAGATTACCTAGAAAGTCAGCAGTTATTTTATAATCTATGAAAATAATAGGATATGGATAACGGATATCTTCTATTTGGATATGCGAATGCTACACCGTTAAAGATCCTCGTGGATGTAGGCTTGACCGGCGTGATTAGCCTCAGAAAAAACCGGTGTTAAGCAGTTCTTTCGTTGCTTTGGACCGAGACAGAGAGATTACCGAATCCCAAACCCTCCCCTTTCAACAGATTCTGATTCACTTACCATCATTTGAGCCGTCTGCTCGCTTGCCCCTACACATCATGAAAAAAGATCGCACTGGATGGTGGCGAACTAAGTCAGAGCTAAGGATGACGCATGACACTTTAAGACCACTGAGTTTCAGTGCGGCCGTAAGATGCGGCAAATTTTGGCCATATCACGAGCTATGCCAGCGGTTCTACCACAGACGTCGTGGGACTCCGCTTTCCTTCATACCTCGCCGCAGCATTGCTCTTCTAAGTAGTTGGGTTGACTCACTATTAGTATTTATTATTACGGTTGTGCATATTTTCACATAACTTTTTAAGTCCTACGAGTATAAAGTCCTATTATTGGCAGTCCGAAAATATTGCTCATATCATTTTACATCATAATAATAAATAAAAAAATCTAACACTAACGATCGAAATTATTATAAAATAGTTTATTGTTTCAAATTTACCCTCAACATTTAGTGACTACTAGTTTAAAATATTGAATCAAAGATTTATATTCTTTGAAGTTCGTTACAATACTGAACTCATTTAACATCCACATTCCATAAATCCTCAAAAAGTTACTGTGGCATTTTGCATCAGCGTCCACCGCAGTGCCAGACGGACACTTTTTATTAATTACGTTCAAATTAGTTTTTTTATGTTAGAGGGGGCACACGAGCAGACGGGTCACCTGATAGAAGTAACCATCGCCGCTCATGAACGTTTGCAACTCAGGAGTCGCAGACGCGTTGCCGGGCTCTTTTCTTGAAGGTTTCAAACCTTCAAGTTACCGCAGATGATAACCCGTTCCACAGATTGGTTGTATAATAATAATATTAATAATATTGTTGTAGTTACTATAATCATAAGCATATAGCGTGTTTATGTGTGTGTGATATACGTTAGTACATGAAATTCATAAGTCTAACTGGGTAAATCACCAGGGTGGAAAATCAGCTTTATTAATAATTATTATTATTATAATAAGTAATTATATGCATTATTAAAAAAAAAGAAACTTCATTCATTTCATTTTTCATTTTTTTTTTTTTTTTTTTTAAGACAACTCCCGCACTAAACTAAACTAAAGAGAACTAAAGAGAACGAAACTAAAGAGAATTAAGTCAAAATATTATGTCCGACAATGTAAGCGTCATTTGCGTGAACGCAGTTTTGATTGCCCGAAAATATTGTGTTTCTGAACGTGACCTGTAGATGTCTATGGTGCAGTGTAGTGAAAGATGTAAGCAAAGTGGCTGTCAAGAAAGTTTCTCGCCAAAATAATTAAAAATAAGTGGTAAGTACCTTTTGATTCATTATTTACAGAGCGTACATCAATAGGTCATCATACCGGGAATGCGTTTATTAACTCAGAATGAATGAAAAATACATATCTCAAATATTTTACATTACCTAAACCAAACATGATGTCAAAGATGGCGGCCTTTTAAAAAAAGGCGCGTTTATTTGAAAAAGTCATTTCGAGAACGGTCATTTCGGGAACGTTGGCGGAGTATTCTCGAAATGATGCTGGCGTTCCCGAAATGACCTTTTCATTATCAAAGTGACATCTGATACAACTATTAGTTAATTAATTTAGTGAATGTTGTGCTAACGTAGTTTTTAATAAATGTTTCATTTGTTTTAGTAATATGGAGTCTCATGATGCCTCAAAAAATAAAAAAAGGTCAGCTTACTTGCGCCATCGACAAAAAACTAATGCTAGAAAAAGGTTTTTTTTAGATAAGATGACAGAAGAAGAGAGAGAAATTAAAAACGCTAAGGATAGAGCTTACTATAAAAAAAGAAAGCTGAAAAGAAAGTTAAAAATATTACTCAGATGACTCACAGAGAAAAGCGAAAGCAAAGAAAAATTTGGAAAGAAAAAAAAGAAAGAAGCATCAAAAAATTCAGAGAGAAGAACAAGGCATTATCAAGTATAACAAACAATTCTCTACCACATTCCGATGATGATTTAACTGCTACGCCTTCAGTAAGAAGAACAGTGGGAAGAAAAATTGTGCGTAAGTCAAATCTAAAGGGATGGAAATCTTTCAGAAATGTGTTAGCGGTAATATGGTGAGGAAATACAAATTACTTCATATGGTTAATAGTTTTTTGCCAAAAGAGAGAACCAGTACATCGATTCTGAAGTCTGATACCAACATTTTTTAAGATAGTTTTGAAGCCTGAAGTTTGTCAAAAAGTTAAAGATTTCTTCCAAAGAGATGACGTCAGTAGGATGTGTCCAGCCAAGAGAGATTTTGTTAAGAAAAACGGTATTAACAAACAAAAGCGTCACCTTCTATTCTCAGTTAAAGACATTATTAAAAGCAAAACCATTTTGGGTAGTAGCTCCAAAATTAAGAGACAGAATCTTGTTTATGTGT